ATCTATTACCGAATTAAACATTCCAATATTCAAGCTAAAAGAGTATAACGGATAACGTTATCCAACTCATGTGTTACATAAATACATTTCTTCAACCACAATTCGAGCTCTGTCGGCCGTTCCGAGATTTACTGCAATGACTTCTCTAATATTGTTTAGTTTGGTAATGGTCAGCTTTATTGCTGTCCGTCTTTTAGTTTTATTTCTGTACCATATCAAGTTATGACCTGTTTTCCGCCACGATATTTGTCTTAGCTTTTAGATTTCTCAATACTTTGTATTTTGCTATTGTATGCTACGTTAAATAATCCTTTTATTTTATGGATACTAAATTGTTTCTTATATTTAGGACATGTATTTTAAAATACCTTCGCCATTTTCTATATAAGAGTATTTCAAAATTATGCCATATTTAAGAACACCATTTGCTATCAGACTATATCTGACTTATTTTTAAATTTTAGTCACAATAATCGAATTGGTAATCAAATAGAAAACGAAGAAATGAAAATTCGTACAATAACAAAAACTAGTTAATTTTAGGCGAAGGCAAATTTCAAGAATCTCTTCACGAAATAGTCTGAACAATGCGGTATCTGCATTGCGTATTATCTAACTGTGAGCCAACTGTAATAACGTGACCTTTCACTATCTCATTACGAAACTCTAAAATATTATATGTAAAACGGTAGCTATGCAAACGAGGAAAGTTTTAATGCATATATGTAAACATCTTCATGATAAACTTTCTGATGTCGGCCATAAAAATATGTAAAAGCATTAACCATAAAACCGAGTTATACTGAATCCTTTCTTCGTTTCGCTTTTTGTTCCTTTGTCCGAATATTTTGCGATATTCAATACAAGCGGCCGTAACCCTTCGAGGCTTGTTTATTACCATGTATTTTATTAGTCGAAGCAAAAGTAGCTATGATTTTAAACACATTCGTTTTGTTAAAGTTTCACCGTTTCCAAAATTTTTAGGCCTTCGAAGTTGCGGCGGCCACAATGGGATGTTTTGTTGTGTTCCAATTCAATTTGAAATTCGAGACAGCGTGAAATATTGTTCCGTTTTTCATTTGTGTTTCATGGAGCTTGTTAGCTGTAATTTTGAAATTTGGTTTCCGCGTTCACGGAGTTCGCTCTCCTATATCATCAAGTCATTTTGTTCGCACGAAATTTTGGATTGTACAAATTGTACCGAATTCGCAATTGAAAAGGAATTCGATATTGTTGTTTATATTTTTGGACCATGGCAAACGAGGGTTGCGTATTATTATTTTTTTGTTTGTTGTTATGTATGTATTTAAAGTTAAGTATAATCCTGCCTCTATTAGTAACAAATCGCATTGTAGCAAAAGTAGCAAAATTTGATTTTGTCAAACTGTAATCATATTTTTTGTTTGATTCGATACTGGTAGCGGCACCATCACCCTCCCTACCTTTGATAACGCAAATCCGTCATTCCAGTTCGTTGAGTAATATTATAATCAATAGGCAATACTTTTGTCAAAACATAACCCCTACTTCTCAAGACAACAAATACATACTTGGTAACTACTTCTCATGAAATAACTGTGAAATATAAAATTTAATTTGATTAAAATATCACAAGAATCAGAGAAGGCAGATGCTAGACTGGATGTCAGTATAATTGATAAGCCGACAATGCTTTCACAGTGATTGTGCCTTTCTTCGATAGGATGTCGAGATAAAAAACCCTTGTAATTTTGTTCCATTTAATGAATTGTATTGTTTAATTTCCTTTGAGATTTTCTGGAATAGATATTTAATTTGAAACGATACCGCTACGAAGTCGAGATTGGGTGTTTTTGATGTCGTACAGTTTATATTTATGAAATTGTGTAAAACTGTATATTTTTCCCATTACTTTATTGTCACTAAGTAAGATTGAATAGTGAAAATACGACGAGCCGTTTAAGCCATTCAACTAGCTGATTTTAGATTTTTTCTACCTACTGCCAGTTGCCTCTTCAATTTCTTCTTCTTCTTCTTTTTCTCCACTTTATCCCACTAGGTGGGATTGGCAGTGTGAGTGTTCGAGGAAAGACATCTGATCTTTTTTAGTCACTGTAGGCAGACAAGGATGCGGTTCACCTGTTGGTGAGTGGTTCCCGTCGTTGAGGTCAAGAATGCCAGGAGCACAGTCAAACCGCCTACTGCAAACCTCTTCTTGGATCTAGGTGGTCCCATCCCATATGATCCCACTAGGTGGGGTCGGCACAGTGAATTTTTCTCTTCCATTCTCTTCTATCAGCTGTCATCTTAACACTCACTCCTCTCTCTTTGATATCGGCATTCACACACTCCACCCATGACTTCTTCGGTCGACCTCTTTCCCTTCTACCTTGCACTACCATTTCCATACATCTTCTAGTCACATGCATCTCCTCTCTACGCATCACATGTCCATACCATGCTAACCACGTATTCAACTCAATTTCGTTTATTTAAAACTATAAGACTTATTATATTTAGTAACATCAATAACATCACTTTCCTTCACATCCGTCCACTCTAATAATCATTTTGTATAATCAGAACAAATTTAAATGGCTTAAAAAAATTATCCGTCACGAGCTATCTTTAAAAAGTTGTGCAAATTAACTTACAGACGTCTTGGCACACAGCAAATATTATTTTTACCATGAAATATCTGATAATCTTAACTCTACATTTCATTTAGTAAATACGACATTTGTTTGTTTTCCCCCATTCCAACCCGGAAACATCTCAAGCTACGTAACATTACTCATCCATTATATCAACATCGCTTACTCTCAGCAGACGTGTTCCTTAAGGGTGACCCTGGGAAAGTTTCGTAGTAACATTGCAAAGCAAATATGATGTTTTTGGTGTCGTACTAAAACATAGAGAAATGTCTTCAGGCGGCCTTCAATAGGACCGTGTAGCTCGTTTATGTAAAATATAAAAAACACATAGTATTTATAACCAATAAATATATTTGAAATGTATTCTTTTTCGATTTTATGTCGTTAAATTTTCTGGTATCAAAATTTTAATTTTCACTACTTTTTCTTCCCGATTATTTTACCGTAGCTTCTATGTGTAACAACCAGATTAAGTCCAAGTCGAAAAAAATATAGTAAAAACAACTCTCGGTTAAGAATTAATGATAACAGAGATTACAATAATAAACGTTAAATTGTATTACGAATGAAAATATGGAATCTGGCTGTGTGGTATAGAATATTAAAGCCTCATATCTTACCGCGGGTGGCGTAAAAAACGGTGAGTGTTTACCTGAGATTGGACAGCAGAGATCTCTGTGTATTGTAGCAGTGTACTGCAACCAACCGACATGACATTTACAAAAAAAGTGATAGAGATACTGACCGTGTCACTCTCGTGGTGTATTTAGTAAATATTAATGCTATCCTAAAATCGCAAATATGGACTGCGTTTGAAGACTCCTACCACCTATAACCGAAGGCTACTGAATTTTGGAGAGTACAATACGAGTTTTAGGAAAAAAATGTGATTTCAATTGAAATTCGTGCCAGATATTTCACTGATATATTCCCTGTGTATTACACGGCTAGATACCATTATGCTGCTATTTCTACTACGAAACCATAATCCGCTCAGGATTGAATAGTAGGACCTCATATTTGAACGCATCCGCAACATTAACATCAGGAGGCTGTTAGTTCCTTCAACGGATTAAGTAACAAAAAAATCAGGTTTTTTGGAACGATTTTTCCGAAAAAGCTAAGTATGTCTATGTCTTAAATTAAAAATAAAGAACGCCACGGTAACCATGTAAAGACGAAAAGGAGCCATAAAAGACTAATTTAGAAAAAAAAAAACAACTGTGGCACCCTTTTGCATGAATAACTAACTAGACTTAAATAAAGAAAAACTACAAGAAATCCTAAATAAGTCACGCTGCGTAAAAGAACGGACTCAATACAGTTTCCTTGTATTTGTAACCAACCGTCAAATAATAAGCAAAATAAAAAAGTTTTAGTAATGATATAATTTCATTTAGGCTTTCTTTTCTTATTTTATTATAGTAGGCTTCCTGCCTTGTAGGAAATTGAATTTGTATATTAATAAATTGATGGAATCGACAAAATACCTTTGATACACTAATATTTCTTTGTAACATAAACGAGTGCTGTGCGGAACCCGCGAAAATAACAAGAAAATAATATTGTAATGATTCAGAGAGTCGTGAATATTTTATAGTATATTCAATATTGAACCTCATTATTTTTTAAAGCTTACAAAACACGAAATGGCAGCGGCGATAATAGATAGTGTGTTTTAAAATATTTGCTTTTGTGTCCTACGGGTAAATATATTATGAGCTAAGAGAACAGTCCGGGTCCTAACTTGTTTTTCCTTCAAAATATATTAGCTCCCCAATAGCTACTATAGAGATTGCCGAAAGCGGGGTATTGTAACAGTTATTTCGTGGCCGTAGCAAATAAGGCGGTGTAACCAAGGGAAATGAGGGGATTCATAATGACCTCTACAACAAATCAACAGCTCTGTCTTTTGAACGAATATAATCATTATTGTGTCTGATGGAGAAGCTGGTTCCAAAATGATGACGCCTTTCTCTTCATCATTATCATTACCTTCCATAGTGACAGTAATTAAGACTCATTTTTTCAGTGAATTCCATTTATTATATTTCAAGTGTACAGCGATAACAACAGAGAGCTCCGCTCCGTTCGACTGTTCGAGCCAGAATGTTTCGTGCAACGATAGTCACTCGTACTTATAACAAAAAACGGGGGTAGTTTAATCATTGATTCTCTTGAATACCGTCTTAAAGAGTTATTGGCATGCGTAACATTAAGAAAACAGTTAATATTAAATATTTTTAGTCAACTAAATACCCGTTGAAATGACGTTGCGCCGACATGTCTTTTGTGTGGAAATTAATTGAAGTCACTGCAAATGTTTCAACGAGAAACATAATATAATTAAAATATCTTTGTTCTCAGTGTCATCGGCTCAACGTGAGCTCGGTAAGGGTTCGCCTGCCAATACTTCAGCGACTGCATCACCTTCGGGATCGGTCGACAATGCCATCCGCACAGGGGCAGCCGTCGCGGACACACCGCGTCCAACGCCGAGAACCGGTCCATACTTCGACCTGGTGGCTTCCAAGAACGTCACAGCACTACTTGGGAAGACTGCCTACTTGAATTGCCGTGTGAAGAATTTAGGGAACAAAACGGTAAGCTAGTACTTTTTAGAGTTATAGCGAGCGGTTGAGACAATATCAAATGGTTCAAAAACACAGGATCTATTAGTTGGTCAGCCGCTAATCAGTATAGTGCTGTAGAATTTCTCGTCCATAATAGCAATACCCTTATTCTTATGTCTTAATCTTTTCCCACTTTCCCTTTGATTTATCTATATGTCGAGTATTGGTGGTAGAGCCTGTTCTTAGATGCGCTGTTGATCATCGCCATCTTGTTAATTTCTGTAACCCACAAGTTATACATACATATACGTCGTCGAGTCGTTACAATTACCTTTGGACGAAGACATCACAAACCATTTCATGCCGTCTAGGCAAAAAAAGAAAATGATGTTGTGTGATTTCTGGTGACTGCTAAATAAGTTGGGCGGGTAGTTCGCTCGTACATTTTAAATTTAATCTATTCTTTATTAAATTATTTTGAATGAGTATTTCATACATTCCATGGTGACGTTTTATTTTACATTCATCTATTTCATTATAACTGAACATTGTATTATATTATCTTGAGATCTAGTAAAGGTTGTAGTAAGTACAATACACTTGCTACATTGTTTTATTTACAACCGTTTCAAGAAAGCAATAAAATTGCACATTTTTCAAGTGACACGTCCACGCCGTTCCAAGTTCCGTCTTAAGTTTACGTCGGCACCATCTCCGCGGAATGGCCTTAAAGTAGAAAAGCTCGAACTAACATCTCTCCGTCATTATGTTGAATATATAAAAAAAGCATTTTATATGGATTGTGTGTTCTAACTAAATATTATTTTATTTATTGAAAGTATTTACAAAATAATAGATAATGTGTTTTTTAGGCTGTTCTTTTACATGTTTGTGTTACTCGATCGAGAATTACTAAATAAAAAAGTAATTGACAATCAATATATACATATATTGTGATTTTGATAATAGCCAACACCGTTTTCAAATTTTCTCGAATAGCATCCAAGTTCTTCGTCACCAAGTAAACAGTAAAGTAATGGTGATGTTGAGAATTGTAAAATAAAAAATTATACATAAATATATGTTATTAGAATTTATTCTGTTTTCTTTTACAGTTCATTTTATTTCAGCAAATAATTTAACAAACACTCTTAACAAAAAAAAAATTAAGCGCATCGAACTTTTAAATCACGTGGGACAAATTTTGTATAGACGAATAATAAATGCAACATACATCCACGTGCTAACGAGATCTCATCAGAGCACCGACCATCCAATTTACATAGCGGCGCCCCACCGGCTCTGCTTATACCAAAAGGCTACAATAGCACAATACAATTTAAAAATCCCCATTGTATGCTCGACTTTATAAATAAAAGTCTCATTAGGCTCCGTCGCCACATCTCCCACGTAAATAACAAGCCAGCTAACGAGTTATTTCTGTTTCTTTCGCTCTGCTTTTTTGATGTACCGTCGTTTCTTTTTTCAATTTATTTTCTGGTAATTGGACCAGCCGAAGAAAAGTTTCTTGGTCTACATTATTTTCGTTTTTACGAAGGAATTATAAATTATCGTTGGTAATGACATTCTTTTTGTATTGGAGCTCTTGAGATAGTATTATTCTAAGAACCCATTTTTTTAGAATACCTACAAAAGAAAAGAAAAAGTCTGTAATCGGTACCAAATTTCAAATTGTAAGATGAAGTTGCTTTTCTTTTCGATAGATTCGATCACAAACTGCTAAACGATAGCCCAATATCTAATGAGCAATTTATAGTTTTACTACTTAAGCAATATTGTAGACGGTATATAAAATTGGAACTAAAGCCTTGAAAGGAATGAAGAATCTTAATAAAGCGTAACAAAAACCGTCTCAGAAATATACATTGGACATTTTCTACTTGGCATCGGATATCTTTCACGGTATAGCGTTTCATGTTTATTTATTCCAAACTCGAATAACTTTGCTTTGCAGTTTATTATTTTCTTTGAACTAAAAGGAAATTGCTTATGATTTCATGATGACATCTGTATTTTAAAATTTACTTAATTGATTGCTGTTTTTGTTTTCTTATTTTGAATTTGTATGAAGTCTTCAATATTTTTCATCTCTTCAGTCGTTTCGTTGTTTACTGATAAAAAGTCTGATTAAATCTCAAATTCGAATTCCAAATTCATTTGTGAAGCCAGTTAGTTATATATTTCGAAATACTGCTCTAAATGTGACGTTATTAAAAGTTTCAAATAATGTACGTACGCCTTCAGCGAAACGGGTTTTGCATTTTCGCAAATATCAAATTTAATTTTCGCTCGCACTAAATTCGTTGGTAGTTTATTGAAAAACCATACATTTGGTCGTGAAAAGTTTCACGTTTATAATTTTTTTATTTTTTATTGCCTATATGTGTGGACGAGGTCACAGCCCACCTGGTGTTAAGTGGTTACTGGAACCCATAGACATCTACAACGTAAATGCGCCACAAACCTTGAGATATAAGTTCTAAGATCTCAGTATAGTTACAACGGCTGCCCCACCCTTCAAACCGAAACGCATTACTGCTTCACGGCAGAAATAGGCGGGGCGGTGGTACCTACCCGTGCGGACTCACAAGAGGTCCTACCACCAGTAATTGTGTTTGTTTCAGTTGAACATGCAGGTGTCTTGGGTTCGACACAGGGACATCCATTTACTGACAGTTGGACGATACACGTACACAAGCGACCAAAGGTTTAGGGCCATACATCTGCCACACTCCGAAGATTGGACATTACAGGTAAAAAAATCTAATTCATATCAAAATCACGTTACACTGTCGCAATGAAATTTTAAGACCTAGACACGAAATGTTTAGCTGTTATACAAAAAATAAAAATTGAAACTACCACTAGGCAAATTCGACCAAAATTTTTTTTGTTCAAATTTATCTTGTAGTTTCGATATTTTTTTTATTGCTTAGATGGGTGGACGAGCTCACAGCCCACCTGGTATTAAGTGGTTACTGGAGCCCATAGACATTCACAACGTAAATGCGCCACCTACCTTGAGATATAAGTTCTAAGGTCTCAAGTAAGTTACAACGGCTGCCCCACTCTTCAAACCGAAACGCATTACTGCTTCACGGCAGAAATAGGCAGGGTGGTGGTACCCACCCGCGCGGACTCACAAGAGGTCCTACCACCAGTAATAACGCAAATTATAATTTTTGCGGGTTTTGATTTTTATTACACGATGTTATTCCTATAAATACATAGATAGCTCCTTGTCTCATAATATCAACATTTTGCGTGTAGTTTTAAAACGTTCATACGTTTGAAGTCACCAGACCCGAAAATCAAGTCACAATGTTTGATTATTTTTATCTCTTTGGATAAAACTTTCTGAATTAGTGCCCATTAAGACTGCGATGTAAATTTCAAAACAGTAATAAATTTTATGTAAAGAGCTTAATTTGACACCGTCGTTTTCTTTCTCTCTCTCTCTTTCTTCCCAGCTATTTGTCCCACATGGTGGTGGGGTCAGCTTTCCTGACTTTACTCCTCCACTTCGCTCTGTCTTCGACATCCTTGTCATGTCTTCTCTCTTGTCCTTCAGCAATACGTCCTTCTCTCTCACTCTCTTGCTTAATCTCGTTGCTTACAGGTTGTAAACTTCTTTATACAATTAAGAACAATAAAAAACACCTAGAACATATTTTTTTGTTCTTATTGTTGTCCATTACGAAATTGACAAGTAGGAAATCGTAGGGTCGTCTAAAATAATGAACGAATTGAAGGTTTGAGAAAAAAATATGATCTAAATACGTTAATGTCTTATAATCGCTCGTTCTAAGGCCACACAAAAAAGTATTTAATTCCTTTGTTTCAGATAAAGTACCCGCAGCACCGGGACTCCGGGATATACGAGTGTCAGATATCCACGACACCGCACATGAGTCATTACATACATTTGAATGTCGTCGGTAAGTTGAAAAATTCTTATATTGTCTCACAATGGCATTAAAACCAGCAGCCCATCAATCAGATTACTATGAACTTGTATAACGCTATATGTAAATGAATAATTAATTATGTGAGTAAATACATATAAATGATATAACCTATGAAATTTTGACTTAGTTCTTAAACAATTTCCATATGTCGAACTGAGTTTTAAATATGTTTCAAATTTACCTTGAACTCTTTATTTATTCGGTTATAAACAGATATCTCAACGGGAATAACGCTAGCCACCATGATACGTGGGCCAATGTCACAAGAAGAAGGTTAAAGAAAAGAAAAATCAAACCGTAACGCCTTCTTTTATTGCTTAGATGATTGGACAAGCTCACTGTCTACTCGGTGTTAGGTGGCTCCCGGAGCCCATAGACATCTACAACGTAAATGCTGCCACCTACCTTGAGATATGAGTTCTTTGGTCTCAGTTTTTACAGTACACATTTAGGCACGATCTCAATATGTACCCTATGCGGATTCACAATTCGCACTACCACAAGTAAACGTTTTTAAACTTCAATTAAACAGCTTATATAAAATACATAGACAAAGAAAAAAGAAATAAAAAAAGAAGTAAAAATACAAAGAAAATTTGCAATGAAATTGTTAGAAAATACTAAAACAGAACGAGAATAAGCCGTTTTCTTTCACAAACATGGCCGTATTAAGTTTTAAAATGGAGTTTGTTTGTACTAGAGGGGTGTCTGAGGCTGCCATTCTCGTCACAATGCTCGCTACCTCACCAAAGTATTGTTTGTGTAGGCTATGTTTGGGCAAGGCGGTTAATTAATAACAGCAAATTAAAGACACGCGCGGGATGAGGCTAAAAAAAAAACACGACTTAATGTTACCACCGATCAAAAATAAAGAACACTTTGACATTATATAGAAGTTCGCTTTGTTTAAAAAAAATTTATGGAGGAAGTAGTTAATTAATGAATTTAGAGCTTACTTTGAAATTAATGATAGGTGATAAATTGTTGATAAGATAATTAGATTTCAATAAATAAAAAAATAGCAAAGAATAATTTGGCACCAAATTGATGGTTTTTTTTTTATTGCTCAGATGGGTGGACGAGCTCACAGCCGACCTGGTGTTAAGTGGTTACTGAAGCCCATAGACATCCACAACGTAAATGTGCCACCCACCTTGAGATACAAGTTCTAAGGTCTCAAGTATAGTTACGACGGCTGCCCCACCCTTCAAACCGAAACGCATTACTTACTGCTTCACGGCAGAAATAGGCAGGCTGGTGGTACCCACCCGCGCGGACTCACAAGAGGTCCTACCACCAGTAAGATGTTCAGAGAACCGCCTAAATTCTTTAATCGTGTAAGTTCATCCATCGTAATTTTGAAACTAAGATCACTACGCAACAATGAATTATATTACAATTGCAATAAAACACAAAAAAATCATTTTATAAATAAACAGGATTCACCTCGCGCGTTGAAACCAAAATGTTATATCAGTCCTGTAACATTCAAACAAAAAGCATATAGGTTGAAATCAGGCAAAACTCAAAGGTATGAAAGTAATTGAAAATCTCTGCTCTTCCTTTAGTGCTGGAGAATATAAAAAAACAGTTTTGCTTCACGACCATTAGCAGGATCGCACAAAATCCCTGCGCGAATCTCTTTTACGCGGGGGCTTTGAATAATGCATATCACCCATAGAGTACTCTTATTTACAGAACCGACCACAGAAATTATCGGCGGTCCAGAGCTGTACATAGACAGAGGCAGCACGATTAATCTAACCTGCGTGGTTCTGTACTCGCCAGAACCACCGGCTTACATATTTTGGAACCATAATGATGCGGTAAAATTCGTTTAATTTTAAATTAACTTGAATTTTTTACGATTGTGTTTTAAAAATGGAAAAAAGAAGATTTCATGTCACGAACTACCATTTACAATATACGTCCAATACTTTTTTTTTTTTTTATATTTCTTAGATGGGTGGACGAGGTCACAGCCCATCTGGTGTTAAGTACTTACTGGGCCCATAGACATTTACAACGTAAATGCGCCAACCACCTTGAGATATAAGTTCTAAGGTCTCAGTATAGTTACAACGGCTGCCCCACCCTTCAAGCCGAAACGCATTACTGCTTCACGGCAGAAAATGAGGTGGTACCTACCCGTGCGGACTCACATGAGGTCCTACTACCAGTAATATTATATATATTAATCAACATAAATAGATATGTAAGTGACAAAAAAGACGAAGCAATACGATAATTAGTATCGTGACCCTGATAATATTTCGATTTTGTTCTAAATCAACAAATCGATTAAGACTATGGTCATTTCGTAAATCGATTCAAAAAATTTGAAATTTCACACAGATAATAAGCTACGATTCCCCTCGTGGAGGAGTGTCGGTCGTCACTGAGAAAGGCGAGACGACTACCTCGTTTCTTCTTATCCAGCAAGCAAGACCCGCAGACTCTGGTACTTACCAGTGTAATCCAAGTAACGCGCAGTCAAAGAGCATCGTGGTTCACGTCTTAAATGGTGAGTTTGTATATTATAATTAACTTTCATTATAAATTAAATTATTTTGAAATTTAAGTAAGTTGTATAACACTTCATTCTATTTTATGTTCTTCTGTTATGTCAGGAAAGCCTTTTTTGAAAATGCCAATTACCGCGAATGCTTAGATACATTTTCAAGTGAATTTTACGCAAATTGCAAATTTATAAAGAAGAATTAAGACAATGCGTTTTCTACCCAAAAACTTTGAATGTCAGCAGCTGATAAGCATAGCTACAGGAATCTTTATCGAGCAATTTATTCGAAATAAAATTCATAATCTTGAGAATTTTGAGGGTGCTGTTAGCAAAAAGAACCAGGACTTCTTTGATAAACGATCCCGATGAGGTAGCGAAAAGAAAATACATTTTTGAATATTTCAAAGAAGAATAATGATACATCACTTACAAAAATATCATTAAAACAAAGACGATCCACAAATGTAACTTCTATTAATGGCAGCGTTAATATTTTTAATTAGGTCTTAAATTTTACGTTCAAGAAATATCGTCTATTATATTACACGCGGAATACTAATAAGTATTCTTATTTCGTTCTTATTATTCAAATTATCTGTCCCGTCTTTCGCTACATCAGACCTTCTAAAAGCATTGTTAAAATCCAATGGCGGCTTTCATTATTATGTAACATAGCCATTCCAATTTATCACTGTCCATTTTTATTCCATTTCGTTCTTTGTTAAGACAGTATTGATTAAACAATTTATTTAGTTTTATCAGTCTTGTCGAGAGCAGTTTTAATTTTTGCCAAAGAAGCAAATTCGATTTTTCCTTTATCAGGGGAATATCCTGCGGCGATGCAGCGCGGAGGACAAGCTTTTGCTCCAACATCAGCAACGCACTGCCTGGTATTGGCAGCTTGTCTCTTCTTATCTCTATCTTGACATATAATGAAAATACAATAAATGTAAATACAGATGTTTTATCGTATTTGACTGTCTATAGTGATGCTTGTGGAGGATTTAAATTTATTAAAAATCTATGAAAACAATCTACCGCCACAAATGTCAGTATATACTGCTAAATAATTTCGCTATTTTATAGTGTGGGTTGTGTTATGTACGATATAAATATAAAAAAATCCCTGAACGTGTAGCTGAAAAGCTTGTTCCATAATATAGTGTAAATAGTGTAATATAAAATAATATATATTGTTTTTGTTGTAAAAGTTATCTTAGCGAGTCACTGTTACATTTTTTTCCAAATATGAAAACTACCATATTCCTTGCTGATTTATATCCATTAAGCATTTTCTTTAAGATTTATCTCGAAAATAAATTGTTATTGCGTTGCGATTTATTGGCCATTATATGGTATAAGTGATTGTAATCTAAAATTGATGTAAACGACCTATATGTTGATAACGAAAAATGTAGTGAAGACAGGAATGTAAAAACAGCTGACAATACTACGTTATAACACAGAAATATAGAGATTGAAATGTAAATAAAAAATTTAAATAGATATACGAATCATTATATCTAACTTTATGGTGAATAGTTTAAGGTATGTAAATTATAATTAAGATGATAAAATCGCGAATATGAAAGATATTGTAAATACGAATGACAAGAAATTAGATGCCGATTCCCTGAATGAAATTGTGAATAATTTGAATCTTCATCAAGTCGCCTTTAAAAGGTCCTTTGAACATTCTAGCAGTGCTAATTCTCTCATAGAGAACACTAGATTTATATATGTTATTGCAAAGCCATTCGGGACATCGATTTAGAGAGACTCATTGTAATTAAAACATTAATACGTTTTATTAGAGTAGTTAATGTTGTAAGAATTATGATAGCAAATATAAATTTTACAGATTAGTTAGAATGATAAAACAATTTCTTAAGAACTTTTTACTATTGTTTGTATTTGAAAATGAATGTTCTTCCTAATTATACTTTTTCTGTCGTGTAGAAGTTCCTTTAGATTAAAAGACTGGCTGGAGAAAATAGTTTAATTACTCAAGACATTCCTAAATTTGAGGTTAAAGCAAGAGTTCAAGTTTTGTTAACACCTTAACGTTTCAAATATCGAACGATTTTAAATTCCTAATGAGTTTTGACCTAATTGGCTTAGTTCTTTCAGTCAACAGCATTGACTCGATCGATTTGCTGGGTTAATATTTTAATTCTTTTAATAATAATAAATTTGAATATAAATATTTCGTGTTCGTATTATTCTAAGTAACGTCTACAAAAACTTCATTTTGTTTGTAGTTAAACATCTCTAGCTCTATCTCCGTTCCTATTTTTGTCGTAATCATGTTTTTGATTTTATTTTTTACTGTATTGGCAATTCTGTTGTATCTGTATAAGCATTTGATATTTATAACTATAATACGAAATAATAACAAAAAAAATTATGACATTTTGTGATAATTTCAACTACAGCAGTTTAATTATTCGATGCTTATCTTAATGATTAAATAAAAAATGGATGGCTTATCACAAAGAAAGCTTTTAGTCACCGATCTTTCCGCTTACACCGATTAATGATTGATTGATAGCAACCCTAAAACAACTTAAAGACCACTTTTACGATTTAATCTAATAATAAGGCTAACTTAAACCATAAAATAGCTTAAAGCTCAATATGATCAATATAAAAACAAAGTAAGCTTTGAATGAGCTTATAATAAATACCACGTTCAGACTACTATTAAATGAATTTGTCACTTCAGTTAATTATTGTTTAAAGGAACAAATGGGTAATAATGATTTGCCAAAATATAAAACGGACCTCGATAATTGGTTGAATATAAAATAAAATACAAGTTAATACAATAGAATTGTCAATAATATTTAATTGTAAATAGTGTTTCATACTTGATGTAAATTATAAAAAAAAAAATAATAAAAATGAGATGTTAAATTACTTTATTTTTTTCTTGAACTAGATAATGTATTGTACGACAGATTTCGATTTAAAAATTATATAAACAGTTATTATTATGTCAGAAGTTTATTATTGTATACAAGTAAAAATACAGATACAATTCGTTGTGTGTATTATGTACTTGGCGGTTAGCCGCTCTTAAATTACAATAAATATGTAATAAACACTATAAAGACGAAATAAAGTTCTAAAAAACCGCTAGACCCTCCTTATTTTCTCGGAACTGGTTTTTAAATTTGAATGTATATTAACTTTCTCGAATATACTACAGTTAAGAAGAATATTTAAAAAATCTAATATTAAAAAATAATAATCAAATATTTCAAAAAAAAAAGACATTCCCGCTGAGTTTCTTGCCAATTCTTCTCAGGACGGAGGCTAATTCTTGTGAATTGGCGGTAGTTCTTTTGACGTTCAACAAGTATGTACTTTCATTTATGTTGAATAAAACTTTTTTGATTTGATTTGATTTGATTTGATTTGATTTGATCACGTAGCCAAATTCGTAAGGCGTTCAAAGAGAAATAATTATATTATATATTACGAATTTTCAAATGACCTCTTTCATTTTTCAATTTGGAAAATGTAATATTATTGGTTTATTTTTTGAATGTGAAATATTAAGAGACATTCGTGGTATGAAAATCGATCTATAAAATTTGTAAACTACCGAAATTTTAATAATAAACTCCGTATTTATTTGATAATTTAATTGATTTCAAACAAACCATGTTTTAGGGAGATTGGGCGTTTTGTGAGCTATCACAGATATTTCCAAACTGCTTATTTCTAAAGCAATTTCGGTTTCAAAGGTAAGACAACTATTACGGCTGCGCTAAAATCTTACAACTATAATATTATCTAATATTATACACCATATATATAAAATTATACAATAACAGATGTTTCCATCATAAAATTTACATATTTAACTAAAACTCTGATTACTTAATTACTACTAACAATTCCTTGAAAGATTTTTCTTTGCATGATGGATGAACGAGCTCACAGCTTACCCGACGCTAAGTGGTCATAGAGCCCATGGACATCAGCAGTGTTAACGTGGTCGNTCTCTGGAAACGCACTGTGGATGACCGCAGTGGCTCCAGGTAGTATGGATGAACTCTACTCCGGTGGCGGGCGGTGCGATGGTAAAAACGAGATGCTGGTATCATCTCGAACAATTCCTCAGAGCACTCCCCATGGAACATACGGTACAAAATACAGAGGGAACCGAAGTCCCTTCGCAGACCCAGAGGCTCCAAACGATCAGAGAGAATGGGATTATCGACAATCCGAACGGCCCTCCTCTGTATGGAGTCAAATGGAAGAAGCTGTTATTTGGGAGCCCCGGCCCAGAGATGGGAGCAGTACTCCATGCGAAGCCGGACTTGTGCCATGACCATGAAACTTCGATTGTGTTAATTTATAGAGACTATTCCATCCTTTAAAGCCAAACGATGTACTCCGCGGTGCAAATTCACGTTATAGCGGCCCACAAGGCCTGTCACTGGTGTATGCACAATTTTATAAACTAGAGGTCCCGCAGTAGTCGAAATTCGACTATAATTAATGGGAATTGTAAGTTTGTACACTATTACGATTGTTTTTTATACTTCTATAATCATAAATTTCGCCAAGACTACACTATGAAAAATATTAACAAAGACAAACAATGTTTAATCTATTCTAAATTTGAAAACAGACGCCAAGAACAAAAGTTTTATCGTGGTCGAGGCGGTTGGCCAACCCCACGTGGGGTCTACGGACCGTTGAGGCGGTTTACCCAGTCTTTGATGACTGGGTGAATCGTGGCCGAGGACGCCTCACCTTCCGTCTGGTGCAGGTGCTGACTGGGCACGGATGCTTCGGAAAGTATCTGCACCGGATAGGAGCTGAGCCGACGACGAGGTGCCACCATTGTNTAATATTATCTAATATTATACACCATATATATAAAATTATACAATAACAGATGTTTCCATCATAAAATTTACATATTTAACTAAAACTCTGATTACTTAATTACTACTAACAATTCCTTGAAAGATTTTTCTTTGCATGATGGATGAACGAGCTCACAGCTTACCCGACGCTAAGTGGTCATAGAGCCCATGGACATCAGCAGTGTTAACGTGGTCGCCCGCCTTGTAACGTAAGTTCTAAGTGTTTTCCACGTTTTTAAAGTACAATGCCTGTCCCAGCCTTCAAAACCGAATCGCAGTACTGTTTCACGGCAGAAATAAGCAGGGTGGTGGTACCTACCGGTGCGATCACACAAAATACTTCCTACAACTAGTAAAAATAATATTTACAAAAACTGAAATTAAATTTACTGCTTCGCTTAGAAAACTTACAAAACAAAAATTTTACTTTAGTCTCGTGTTGAAATAATCTAAACTCAAAACCCTTGTTACTGCGTGGAGGCGGATAAAAAGTAATTTCCGTGGGATGTAAGAAGAATAACGCATTATAGATTCATATTACTTCTCTGAGAAAAAAAAGTTTCTTTCTGTTTACATACAAAAATAAATCACTGAAAGGAAAAAAAAATGGTAGGGCGTGTACCGGCCTAGAGAGGGCGTCTTATGAATACCTAATCGCAACGAACCGGATGAAGGATGCGTTCCTTAATTGTAAAGACTTATTTATAAGCCACGTCAGGCGAGCTTTGTTAAATGTTCTTGCTTTTTTAATTCGCTAAGGAAATACTTTATTTTGTTTTATTGCGTACCTATGCGATTGAACAACCTCACGCTCTATCGAGTGCCAAGTGGTTGCCGAAGAGCATCATAATGTCATCACCCATCTTGAGACATGAGGTCTAATTTATTCTTAATGTCTGTCCCTTGCAAATCGGAACGCAATACTGCATAGCAGAACTAAGTAGGGAGGTGGAATCTAATTTAATTTTTTTACATGACTAGCTTTTGCCCACGACTCCGTCCCCGTGGAATAATTACTTTGGCATAACGCTAAATTTTACCCCCCCCCCCACTTAATTTACGTAGAAAGTGAAAATATTTTGAAACATTCTTTATTGGTGCTCCACTTGTTTTTGTCTTATCGTGTTATATCTTAATGTTGTGTATGTTATATAGCCTTCCTCCTTTCTCAATAAATAGGCTATCTAACACTGAAAGAATTTTTCAAATCAGACCTGTAGTTCCTGAGATTAGCGCGTTCAAACAAACAAACTCTCCAGCTTTATAATATTAGTATAGATGTTATTCCTTCATAGTGGAAGACAGTCGTGAACATGTGTTAAATATTTATTTCATTAGGAAAATTAATACCTGCCTTCGAACATAGAGTCGCATCGCGCATCGCTACGACACCCGCAGTGTATGATCGACGAAATGCAAGTAGCGGCTGAAACAGCCGTGTCCCGTAATCAGCTTGGGATGGGATCAGATCAGAGCCCTAAAAAACTTCTAGGCCCGTGGTCCGCATACCCAAGTGCCCCCAAGGCGCGGAATCATCTTGAACGAGATACAGCAGCTGCCCAAAAAAAATTTTTAGACTGGACTACTGTGCTAGCTGTTACAAATTCAAAACGACCGATGCCAAACATTTATAATATCAACTTAGATAGACACGCTTTATTAGTTTTAAAGAGCAATAAAAGTTTCTTGTCATTTAAATAATCCTATAACGTTTGATTTATTGCCGAGCAACAGCTGTGAATTCTGCATTATGCTCTATTCCGGTGATCTATTTCTACAGAGTGACCTCTGATATACGTATCGCTACTACGAAACATATCGGTTACTTATTTGTATTATTCACTTAGAAAAAAATGTTCAATGGTCGATACAACTCAACATTCGTTTTTATTTAAAACTAGCTGACCCGGCAGACTTCGTAGTGCCTCAATCGATAAATAAAAGACCTAAGCTTTTTATCACATGGACACATTAAAGGAAAAACAAAATTGTTATTTTTATTTAATTCCGAGCATTTTCATATTTATCTACCTTGTAAACCTCTGGAATTCCACGAATAATTCAAAACCAAAATTAGCCAAATCGGTCCAGCCGTTCTCGAGTTTTAGCGAGACTAACGAACAGCAATTCATTTTTATATATTATGTATATTAATTTGATTTTTAAATTATGATTAGGATACTGGTTATTTTTATCGGAAAATGTAGTATCGTTTCAAAAGAAAGAAAAAAAGCACTCTGTATTTAAACCCAATCTCCAAAGGTAGTAAATTAAATAAAAACATTACCTACACTTTTATATTACACCTTATATATAGCTTCAGCGAGCAATAAAACACCAGTCTTGCTACAGAGACTACTATAATAGATTACAATCTGCATTATCTAGTTACATCTGGGAATTAGTATATAGAATAACAATTAGGAGAAATTTATGTTGTAAACTAACTTTATAGATACGTAATGAAACTTTGGCCTTTAGTTTTCCTGTAAATAAAGAATTAATTTGCAGAGCATGTGACGAAAATTCCAACCAAAAATAATAATATTATTTATTTATTTATTAAGGATTACCGACAGGGCTTACAGTAAGACATAAAATAACATTGACGTGTATAGAGCAATTGATAACTGCAACTCTAATTAGAGGCAATCACAGCATGCATTACATTAATATATTAATAGAGATTTAACAATACTATTAATAATAATAAAAAATTAAAAACAAAAGAAAGATAATAAGGACAGTAATACCCAAGTACTCAGACCAAGGCTGAGGCTGAGGTTCAACAACAACTTTTTATAATTTTGTTCCTGAATATTGGAAGGGAATCGCCAAATATGTCAAGGTTTTCAGCTTTTCTGACTAGATTACTATAAAGGTTAGTTAGAACCAATTCAACGCCGGAGACAAATGATTGATTAGTATGTTCATAATTTATGAATGAACTACCACTGAGCACTACTAATAAATCACAAAACATGCTAATACA